TGAGCCCTTCTGAACTCATTCCATAGCTTATTCCTGACCAAATGAAGTGCCAGCTCTCTGCCATTGCCATCCACACTCTGATGGGCAGCAAAAAACCCAGGACCAGATCCATCTGCTCCTCTGACTCAGGAGGTGGCACCAGAGCTGCCCAGGGAAGTTGAAATTGTGGCTTCCCCATCCCTGGAATTGTTCCAGGCCAGGTTGGACAGGGCTTGGAGCAACCTGGGATAGTGGAGGGTGTCCCTGCTCGTGGCAGGGGGTTGGAACGAGCTGATCTTGAAGGTCCCTTCCCAACCCATTCCATGATTCTATAGAACCAAGAAGTTCCAAAATGGATCAAAAGCAGCTGAAAGTGAGGAAACATCTGGTTGGCACCCAGAAGCTGGAAATTTGAGGGGTTTAGCTCCAGGTGCCCAAACTCTTGGCTTGAATCCACTTGAGTTCTCAGCGTTGGGAGACGAGTGAAGCCACGCGGCAGCAGAGGAGGTCGTTCCCAAGGGATCGAAGAGTTCCCTTGGCAGAGAGAGGGGAGGGGATATTTTGGCTTGGGACACTACAGGGAGCACTGGAGGAGCTTCCCAAGCAGCAGGACCAGCAGAGGCAGGGCCGAGGAGCTGCTCCTCACCCCGCTGCTGGCCCTGGTGTCGCTGGTGCACAGGTCAGTGTAGCAGCAGGACTTGGGTTTGTTGTCCCCGATGCCGTTGTTGGGCAGACATTCCTCCTCACAGCTCCTGGTCACCGTGATGTTCCCAAAAAAGGGATAACCTGGGAGAGGCAGGTTGGAGGAGAGGAGAAGGTAAGAGAGGGGAAGAAACGGTAAAGGAAGTGCAGGCAGCTGGTGTGGAGAAACACAGGAAAATTAGGTGTGGAACGTCTTTAATCTGTGGATGCCTCTAATCCAGGCTATTTTTTGTGGGAATAGGGCCACAGATTCTTAGTGCTGACTCTCTCTAATCCTCCTGCTCCTTGCTAAATTATTCCAACATGGTAGAGGGACACAAATCCCTGTCCAAGTTTGAATACAGCTATAAATTCAGGGCCTGTAAGG